CCCCCCCCCCCCAAGCCCCTCCAGGACGCGCGCTTCGCGCGCGTTTTTTAGTTTGAGTGTCCGGCCTCAGTTGTCTTTTAAGTGACCCGCACGTCCACCGCGGGAAGAGTGTATTTTCCGAAGGGAGGGGCAGAGGCGGGGAGTTATCAATCTTTAGAGGTTGGATTTACGTTTACACTTATGGAGGCATTGATTGTTCGAATAAGGACTTCATGTCGCCAGATTGCAACAACAATCCTCATGTAATGTCTGATATGAAAAAATGTCAACAAACGCTGTGGCAAGCTTGAATGGCGATGGATGAATCTCCATAACCCACTGTGCGACAACATTGCCGTCTTGTCCACCAATTATCAGTCTGTAACCCACTGTGCGGCAATATAGCCATCGTGTCCACCAATTATCAGTTCATCAGTTCGTGACCCATTGTACGACAACATTGCTGTCTTATCCACCAATTTGAACCACCGCAACCAAGAAGTGTCATTCTTGCACCCAGTGCCTCAATTTTTCTGCACATTGTAGTGCAGTGGATTCTATGAAATGAGTTTTTATCATGTCCTTACTTTCCTCTATAAAATTAAAAAAATACAGCACTTATGCTATGTTTTCAGCAAAAAAACTGAGGGCATTTACTTATTATTACATTCATCACAAATAAATATCACAAACTGAAACAACATTATTTTGAAATTGAAGACACTAAATTGACTACAATTTTCAATGAAGAACTGCTATTTCTGGCTCATTTTAGGAAGAACAAAATGTGCCATTAGTTCATGATCCGTTGTTGTGTCCTGTAATAGTTTCCTGTGTAGTTAGGTAATAAAACAAATGAACCAAAAATAGTAGTTCCGTAAGGTTAAATGTAGTGAAAGTTTAAAAATTATCATCGGGACATAATCATTCTTGTCTCTTGCCCGGTTCATCAAGAATTTGCTCATGTAAGCATACCATAAATTGAGAGTTCTGTTGTGTTTAATCATGAAAACTAAAACACATCCTCACACAGAAACATTTGATTTTAATCAAAAAACACATCAGCCGAAAATATTCGCACTAATCAATTAATAATTAAAGATTTCGGAGCCGAACCGTACCAACCTCGTATAAGCGCACTATTCGTTTACCGCGAGCTGGGAACGGCTGGGGCTCACTTACCTCACCGGTGCCGTTTCGGTGTTCCCGCACTCATCGGTCGGTCCGACATGCGAATGGAAGAGAAGTGGCCACCGCTCCATTTCACAGCGCACGGTCTACTCTATTCAATGTCTTTGGGGGACCCTCCCTTTATGTGAAGGGCCTGAGGGGCGCCGGCTACACCGGGGCCGGGGTCGGGGACTGCCGTTCGAAGAGTGCCTTAGGGACGTCCGACGGGAGGATAGAGCGTCCGATGGGCCACACTTGCACGGGGTGTGGCCTGGAGGGGTCGTTTAGTGGGCACGGAACACAGCGGCGTGCTCTACCCCCACATAACCGGGTTTTCCCATCTCACAGTAGTTGGGTCGGTTAGAGGTCGCTTCGGCGGCTCTTCACCAGCTGATGGTCGTTGCCGTCCCGGTATTCGGTGGGCCCCTTTTATGAGGGGCGTCTTGGCGACCCTCATGATGGGAGCACTGTAGCGAATTTTTCCTCTCATCACAAAAAAAAAAAAAAAAAAAAAAAAAAAAAAAAAAAAAAAANAAAAAAAAAAAAAAAAAAAAAAAAAAAAAAAAAAAAAAAAAAAAAAAAAAAAAAAATTAGCACAAACAATCCAGAGGCAAAGACGCAAATATGTCGTTATCAAATCGGGGTAAATTTTGCAACATCGGTCGCGCAAATCGAAAAACCAAGAGGTACAGGAATGTCTAGAGCCAAGCTTTCATTTAAAACAAATCCGGGAAAATCGGTCCAATAGCTTCTGAGGTCGAATTAGCACAAACTTTCCAAACTGAAGGAGGACAAAAAAAAAGCCTTAGGATATCATTATTATTATTATTATTATTATTATTATTATTATTATTACTCTATATAAAGCTGCTGTTCCCACTCACTATGCCCCCCCTAGATAAAAATTGGCCGAAGCGATTTCCTTTAAAATTGGTACACGCTCAGCTATTGTAATGAGGAGTTGATTAAAATTATTCCCACTCAAATCCGCTGCTTAGGACGCCCGCAAGAGCGAAAAGTTGTTTCTCCATATAGTATTACATTGGAGATACGCGGTTGTTTACGCGCATCGCGCCGAACAGGTTCAATCCTGTTGCGTGACGTCACTGCCTTATAGACGAAATATAAGGTTTTAGGCGGTATTTTTCAACGGATTTTTGAGGAAATTGGTAAGCGGGGGTATTTTTCAACGGGGATCTCGAATTTTTGGTCGGATTTTCAAAATCTCAAAATCCAAGATGGCGGCCGTGGCCTTAAATGCTAAGTCGGCTCCTGTTCGATCGATTTTCGTGAAACTCGGCATCCGGGGGTACTTTTCGACGGGAAACTCGAATTTTTGGTCAGATTTTCAAAATTTCAAAATCCAAGATGGCGGCCGTGGCCTAAAATGCTAAGTCGGCTCCTGTTCGATCGATTTTCGTGAAACTCGGTATCCGGGGGTACTTTTCGACGGGGATCTCGAATTTTTGGTCGGATTTTCAAAATCTCAAAATCCAAGATGGCGGCCGTGGCCTAAAATGCTAAGTCGGCTCCTGTTCGATCGATTTTCGTGAAACTCGGTATCCGGGGGTACTTTTCGACGGGAAACTCGAATTTTTGGTCAGATTTTCAAAATTTCAAAATCCAAGATGGCGGCCGTGGCCTAAAATGCTAAGTCGGCTCCTGTTCGATCGATTTTCGTGAAACTCGGTATCCGGGGGTACTTTTCGACGGGAAACTCGAATTTTTGGTCAGATTTTCAAAATTTCAAAATCCAAGATGGCGGCCGTGGCCTAAAATGCTAAGTCGGCTCCTGTTCGATCGATTTTCGTGAAACTCGGTATCCGGGGGTACTTTTCGACGGGGATCTCGAATTTTTGGTCGGATTTTCAAAATCTCAAAATCCAAGATGGCGGCCGTGGCCTAAAATGCTAAGTCGGCTCCTGTTCGATCGATTTTCGTGAAACTCGGTATCCGGGGGTACTTTTCGACGGGAAACTCGAATTTTTGGTCAGATTTTCAAAATTTCAAAATCCAAGATGGCGGCCGTGGCCTAAAATGCTAAGTCGGCTCCTGTTCGATCGATTTTCGTGAAACTCGGTATCCGGGGGTACTTTTCGACGGGGAACTCGAATTTTTGGTCAGATTTTCAAAATTTCAAAATCCAAGATGGCGGCCGTGGCCTAAAATGCTAAGTCGGCTCCTGTTCGATCGATTTTCGTGAAACTCGGTATCCGGGGGTACTTTTCGACGGGGATCTCGAATTTTTGGTCGGATTTTCAAAATCTCAAAATCCAAGATGGCGGCCGTGGCCTAAAATGCTAAGTCGGCTCCTGTTCGATCGATTTTCGTGAAACTCGGTATCCGGGGGTACTTTTCGACGGGAAACTCGAATTTTTGGTCAGATTTTCAAAATTTCAAAATCCAAGATGGCGGCCGTGGCCTAAAATGCTAAGTCGGCTCCTGTTCGATCGATTTTCGTGAAACTCGGTATCCGGGGGTACTTTTCGACGGGGAACTCGAATTTTTGGTCAGATTTTCAAAATTTCAAAATCCAAGATGGCGGCCGTGGCCTAAAATGCTAAGTCGGCTCCTGTTCGATCGATTTTCGTGAAACTCGGTATCCGGGGGTACTTTTCGACGGGAAACTAGAATGTTTGGTCAGATTTTCAAAATTCAAAAATTCAAGATGGCGGCCGTGGTCTAAAATGCTACATCGCTTCCTGATATCGATCGATTTTTGTGAAACTCGGTATTAGGAGGTGTATTTCGACGGGAAATTAGAATTTTAGGTCCGATTTTCAAAATTCAAAAATCAAAAATGGCGATCGTGGTCTAAGTTGTTATCTTGGCTTCCGATCCATCGATTTTTGTGAAATTCGGTATTAGGAGGTGTATTTTGACGGAAAACTCGCATTTTTGGTCAGATTTTCAACATTTCCAAATCCAAGATGGCGGCCCCGCACGAAAACGCGGTCCGGACTCCTAGAACATCAATTTCTGTAAAACTTGGTGAAAAAGAAGATTAAGACATAGATGTTGTCTCCTCATCAATGTTAAAAACTGTGCGGGGCGGTGGCGGCTCGCGGAGCGAGTCGCAAGTTCGTCGCGAAGCGTAGAACTGGGGTCCAGGGGCACTCCCCGGCTAGACGTGTCAGCTCGCAAAGCGAGCTAATCACGACTAGTTACTCTATATAAAGCTGCTGTTCCCACTCACTCTGCCCCCCCTAGATAAAAATTGGCCGAAGCGATTTCCTTTAAAATTGGTACACGCTTAGCTATTGTAATGAGGAGTTGATTAAAATTATTCCCATTCAAATCCGCTGCCTCGGATGCCCGCAAGAGCGAAAAGTTATTTCTCCATATAGTATTACATTGGAGATACGCGGTTGTTTACGCGCATCGCGCCGAACAGGTTCAATCCTGTTGCGTGACGTCACTGCCTTATAGACGAAATATAAGGTTTTAGGAGGTATTTTTCAACGGATTTTTGAGGAAATTGGTAAGCGGGGGTATTTTTCAACGGGGATCTCGAATTTTTGGTCGGATTTTCAAAATCTCAAAATCCAAGATGGCGGCCGTGGCCTAAAATGCTAAGTCGGCTCCTGTTCGATCGATTTTCGTGAAACTCGGTATCCGGGGGTACTTTTCGACGGGAAACTCGAATTTTTGGTCAGATTTTCAAAATTTCAAAATCCAAGATGGCGGCCGTGGCCTAAAATGCTAAGTCGGCTCCTGTTCGATCGATTTTCGTGAAACTCGGTATCCGGGGGTACTTTTCGACGGGAAACTCGAATTTTTGGTCAGATTTTCAAAATTTCAAAATCCAAGATGGCGGCCGTGGCCTAAAATGCTAAGTCGGCTCCTGTTCGATCGATTTTCGTGAAACTCGGTATCCGGGGGTACTTTTCGACGGGGATCTCGAATTTTTGGTCGGATTTTCAAAATCTCAAAATCCAAGATGGCGGCCGTGGCCTAAAATGCTAAGTCGGCTCCTGTTCGATCGATTTTCGTGAAACTCGGTATCCGGGGGTACTTTTCGACGGGAAACTCGAATTTTTGGTCAGATTTTCAAAATTTCAAAATCCAAGATGGCGGCCGTGGCCTAAAATGCTAAGTCGGCTCCTGTTCGATCGATTTTCGTGAAACTCGGTATCCGGGGGTACTTTTCGACGGGGAACTCGAATTTTTGGTCAGATTTTCAAAATTTCAAAATCCAAGATGGCGGCCGTGGCCTAAAATGCTAAGTCGGCTCCTGTTCGATCGATTTTCGTGAAACTCGGTATCCGGGGGTACTTTTCGACGGGAAACTCGAATTTTTGGTCAGATTTTCAAAATTTCAAAATCCAAGATGGCGGCCGTGGCCTAAAATGCTAAGTCGGCTCCTGTTCGATCGATTTTCGTGAAACTCGGTATCCGGGGGTACTTTTCGACGGGAAACTCGAATTTTTGGTCAGATTTTCAAAATTTCAAAATCCAAGATGGCGGCCGTGGCCTAAAATGCTAAGTCGGCTCCTGTTCGATCGATTTTCGTGAAACTCGGTATCCGGGGGTACTTTTCGACGGGGAACTCGAATTTTTGGTCAGATTTTCAAAATTTCAAAATCCAAGATGGCGGCCGTGGCCTAAAATGCTAAGTCGGCTCCTGTTCGATCGATTTTCGTGAAACTCGGTATCCGGGGGTACTTTTCGACGGGGATCTCGAATTTTTGGTCGGATTTTCAAAATCTCAAAATCCAAGATGGCGGCCGTGGCCTAAAATGCTAAGTCGGCTCCTGTTCGATCGATTTTCGTGAAACTCGGTATCCGGGGGTACTTTTCGACGGGAAACTCGAATTTTTGGTCAGATTTTCAAAATTTCAAAATCCAAGATGGCGGCCGTGGCCTAAAATGCTAAGTCGGCTCCTGTTCGATCGATTTTCGTGAAACTCGGTATCCGGGGGTACTTTTCGACGGGGATCTCGAATTTTTGGTCGGATTTTCAAAATCTCAAAATCCAAGATGGCGGCCGTGGCCTAAAATGCTAAGTCGGCTCCTGTTCGATCGATTTTCGTGAAACTCGGTATCCGGGGGTACTTTTCGACGGGAAACTCGAATTTTTGGTCAGATTTTCAAAATTTCAAAATCCAAGATGGCGGCCGTGGCCTAAAATGCTAAGTCGGCTCCTGTTCGATCGATTTTCGTGAAACTCGGTATCCGGGGGTACTTTTCGACGGGAAACTCGAATTTTTGGTCAGATTTTCAAAATTTCAAAATCCAAGATGGCGGCCGTGGCCTAAAATGCTAAGTCGGCTCCTGTTCGATCGATTTTCGTGAAACTCGGTATCCGGGGGTACTTTTCGACGGGGAACTCGAATTTTTGGTCAGATTTTCAAAATTTCAAAATCCAAGATGGCGGCCGTGGCCTAAAATGCTAAGTCGGCTCCTGTTCGATCGATTTTCGTGAAACTCGGTATCCGGGGGTACTTTTCGACGGGG